TGATGGAAATTCCAAAACTTTTCTCAATGTACCAGAAAATATGTTTTTATTGCTGCTTGTGTCCCTTTTGGTGGGAGCCTCACCTTACTTCCTGCCTGGCCTGGCTACTAAAAAACAGACAGGAAGTGGGGAGATTTTTCCCCCTTTACCTGTTCTGTCTCAAAATGCTCATTCACACCTACCTGTACTCTAAAACCCAAATGAGCTAATGTCATTGTGAAGGGGGATGCTTCGCATTGTTAGAACCTTATTGAAGTGTTACAAAATGACACTTCATTTGGGGTCTATACACCGCAGCATGTTGTGATGTGCTGCAGTTGGGTGCGGTGCATGGTGCTGCGTAAAAACACAGCCTGTGTGCATTTTTTATGCATTTTTATGCAAGGCACCACAACCCAATTCAATGCATCATTATGGAGCCAACAGTACATGTGCCCTTGCATTGAGTCTATGTTGATCTATGGAGATCAATGAATATACTGTGAACAAGCCCTGAGCCATCAACTCTTTCAAATGGGGACAAATACAGTAATCTGACCAGAGGATCTAACCCCTCCACATGCTTTTGGTGTTTTCCTTCCACACTATCCTAAAAAAAAAAAAAAAATTGGTCAGAGTTTGGGCTTTTGAAACCAAACCATCCCAGCATGCAGGAGCCAATGAAGCAAAAGACTTTCGCAATTATGAATGATAGCATTAGAAGGAGCTTCAAACGAGAATGTAAAGTAGGTTAATTACTAATCAAGCATGAAAGATGAGAAAAAATATATTTGCATTGAAATGTTAATGTGTTAATTCTGTTAATCTGTGCTTAATCAACTAGAAGTGATTGTATAAAACACGCTTCTCTCATATCTTTTCACCTGGACGCCATCAATTTATTGGTGTGTATCATGTAACCATGAATACATTATATTCTCTACTCTGTAATTATATTTATTGAAAAAGCTGAGAAGGGGTTGTATGGGTATGGAGTGGGACCAAGCTCAGGTAACCATTATAAATGGATTTATTTTGCACTGTTTGAACTTTTTGTAGGATTTGAGAATTTATGATGCATTTTGACAACTTGTTATTTTGTGTGATTTGCGGTCCCTAGGGTAAATGCTTTAAAGAACATGTTTAAAGAGACTCTGTTGCCAGATAAAATCTTAATAAGATTATATGTACATTTAATATATTTTATACAGTACATACAGTCATGGCCAAAAATATTGGCACCCCTGCATTCCTATCTGATAATGCACCACTTTGCCAGAATATTGTTGCGATTACCAATGATTCCAGTAGAGAGGTGTAAGAAACTGATTGATGGCTACAGGAAGCAATTGATTTCAGTTATTTTTTTTCAAGGGTGTGTGCTACTATATTAAATTGAGGGTGCCAATAATTTTGTCCAGTCCATTTTTGGGGTTTTGCGTGGAATGTGTCAAATTTGGTTTTTTGTTTCTCCACTTTTTTGTGTCGTACCAATAAAAACAAAAGAAATAAACATGAGAATACCTAAACATTGGTAATTGCAACAATTTTCTGGCAAAATTGTGCATTATCTGACAGAAATGCGGGGGTGCCGATATTTTTGGCCCTGACTGTATTATTTACCTAAGTGTTTTTAACTTCCCTGATTATATACTATTTTATTCTTCAGACCCTGCCCAATCAGGGACGAGGTTCCAGAACGCAGAAGAACTGCATCCTGGAAGCTTGTTCCTGATCCACTCGGTACAGTGTTCAGCCCAATCCAGCTGCAGCCTGCCATAGACTTTTACAGGGCTTTCCCTGGCACACTAAAAAGCCAGGAGGGATGCACTTTAACTGAACAACCCATGTGCAAGGGGCCAAGAGTCTCAGCTTCTCCTACAAAACTACAGTTGTCTCCAAATATTAAGACATTTAAACGTGTGTTTTGTTATGATTAATATTTCGGATGAAAATTGAATTTTCTGAGATTCGGATGTATAGGAATCTTCGAATGGATATAGTAGCAAATGTCAATGAATCTGAAAAAAAATTATAATGAAATTAACGAATGCATTTGTTTAATTTGGATGACGTCACACAATTAATGAATTATGCAGCAATCTTCTAGAAAAATTGCAAAATTTTTCAAATCCACCTGGACCAACTAATATACAAAATTAATGAACGAATTCTGAAAATAAATTGATTCAACATGACAAATATGACGAAACAAAATTCTTCAATGAATAAAAGCATCTGAAAAGAAAAGAAAATTTCCAGTGTGCACATGTCTACAGACATTCACAGAAGGCAATCCAAGGTAAACAGAGGGTCTGATATTTAGCCTAACTCCGCTTTTTCTTGGACCGCACCATGCATGATTTTTTTTTTTTGTTTCAATCGATTTTTATTTGGTTTACCATTGAAAAGAAAGTGATACATACCAATAGAAGACTATGTATTATGGTACATTCAATTCAAAAGAAAAAAAAAGCAGTTATAGTTGCTGATAACATTAACAGAAGGACCCCAGGACATTAGCCATGGGATGGGCATAGGCAACATGGCGTGTCAACCAAAGAATATAATTCTAAGCTCCATTAGATAAGCCAAGGTTAGCCACAATGGGCCTACATAGATACAATTATTCGACTCAATGATATCCATAAGATCACAGGATCACCCCAATCTCATAGCATAAAGGTATCACTTGTGTTGGACCCATTTGTGAATGGTAGAAGAGACCAAAGTCTCAACAATGAAAACCAACATACTTTAAACATAGAAAAAAAATAGTAGGGCATGGAGAAGAAGAAAAGTAGTAGGGAAAGAGAAAGAAAAGAGAAGTGTAAAGATACATCCATTTTGGGATCCAGCAACAACAGATCTTGGAGCCACCCCTGATGTCCGGAACCTGTAGATAAGAGAATCAAGGGTTCCACACCTTTTCAGAAATAGTTTGCTTATCCCGGAGAACACTCACAATTTTTTATCATTTTTTAATCACTTTATACACTGCTCAAAAAAATTAAAGGAACACTTTTTAATCAGAGTATAGCATCAAGTCAATGAAACTCCTGGGATATTGATCTGGTCAGTTAAGTAGCAGAGGGGGTTGTTAATCAGTTTCAGCTGCTTTAGTGTTAATGAAATTAACAGGTGCACTAGATGGGCAACAATGAAATGACCCCCAAAACAGGAATAATTTTACAGGTGGAGGCCACTGACAATTTTTTCCGTGCTCATCTTTTCTGACTGTTTTTCACTAGTTTTGCATTTGGCTAGGGTCAGTGTCACTACTGGTAGCATGAGGTGATACCTGGACCCTTCAGAGGTTGCACAGGCAGTTGAACTCCTCCAGGATAGCACATTTATATGTGCCATTGCCAGAAAGTTTGCTGTGTCATCCAGCACAGTCTCAAGAGCATGGAGGAGATTCCAGGAGACAGGTAGTTATTCTAGGAGAGCTGGACAGGACCATTGAAAGTCCTTATCCCATCACTAGGACCAGAATCTGCTCCTTTGAGCAAGGAGGAACAGGATGAGCACTGCCAGAGCCCAACAAAATTACCTCCAGCAGGCCACTGGTGTGAATGTTTCTGACCAAACAATCAGAAACAGACTTCATGAGGGTCGCCTGATGGCCCAATGTCCTCTAGTGCTCACTGCCTGGCACCATAGAGCTCGATTGGCATTTGCCATTGAACACCAGAATTGGCAGGTCCACCACTGGTGCCCGCTGCTCTTCATAGATGAGAACAGGTTTACCCTGAGAACATGTGACAGATGTGAAAGGGTCTGGAGAAGCCGTGGAGAATGTTATGCTCCCTGTAACATCGTTCAGCATGACTGTTTTGGTGGTGGGTCAGTGATGGTCTGGGAAGGCATATCCATGGAGAGACGCACAGACCTCTACAGGCTAGACAATGGCACTCTGACTGCCATTAGGTATGGGGATGAAATCCTTGGAGCCATTGTCAGACCCTACACTGGTGCAGTGAGTTCTGTGTTCCTCCTGAGACATGACAATGCCTGGCCTCATATGGCGAGAGTATGCAGGCAGTTCCTGGAGGATGAAGGAATTGGTACCAATGAATGGCCCCCACACTCGCCTGACCTAAATCCAGTAGAACACCTCTGGGATATCATGTTTCGGTCCATCCAACACCGCCAAATTGCACCTCAGACTGTCCAGGAGCTCAGTGATGCCCTGGTCCAGATCTGGGAGGAAATACCCTAGAACACCATCCACCATCTCATTATGAGCATGCCCCAATGTTGTCAGGCATGCATACAAGCACATGGGGGCCAAACAAACTACTGAGTACCATTTTGAGTTGCAGCAATAGCCTGCTGCATCATTTTTTCACTTTGATTTTTGGGGTGTCTTTGAATTCAGTTCTCTGTAGGTTGATAATTTTAATTTCCATCAAACGATGGGGCATCTTTATGTTCCTAACACATTACCCAGTCCATATCAGTATAGATATCCAGCAAGATATTTTCCCCCTTGAGATCTGATGTGTTTTCAAAGTGTCCCTTTTTTTGAGCAGTGTACATACCTTAAAGTGGAACTTCATCTAAAATGGAAATTCCTCTTTTCCTCCTCCTCCCCCTGTTCCACTTTTGGAGGTTTTATTTTTTTGGCAGCGGGCACCTATTTTTGGCAGGTATCCACTCCCACTTAGATGAGCCAAGTGAAAGTTCAGCCCCCCTTCCTCCCTGCCCTTAACCTCCTGGGACATGTCGTATGTCGCAGGAGGCTGCTGATCCATTCAGAAAGCACAGAGCGATTAGCGCATGCACAGTGGGTAACCAGCTGTGAAGCCACAGGAAGCCCCAGTCGGCTTCCCACAAGCAAGATGCCACTACTGGAAACCCAAAGACTGGTAAAGAACTGGCCTGACAGATGACAGCGCTGGATCCCTGCACTGGTAAGTACATGTTTATTAAAAGTCAACAGCTACAGTATTTGTAGCTGCTTAATTTTATTTTTTTTTTTACAAATGACAGTATCTCCAGGATCCTTTTTTGTGCTTCCTCCACCACTGGGCAGTCCTGAATGCTACAGAAAACAATCGCCAGGAGCAGGGGCGGACTGGCCATTTGGAAACTCAGGCACTGCCCGAGGGCCCGGGGTCAGTAGGGGGCCCCATGAGATGCCCGTGGTACCTTTTTCATATGCTTTTTTGAGTTTGGGCAAGGACACAGGGGCCCCATGATCCCCTATTGCTCGAGGGCCCCATGAGTTGTCAGTCCGCCCCTGGCCAGGAGGGATGCCCTGCAGCTGAACATCTCGATGTGCAAGGGCTAAAGCAAGTAAGTACAGTGGAGGTGAGGGATACAAGGCGCTAGGGACTGAACTGGGGACATATCAGAGATACCAGTGGAACCCAGCCACCACATCAAGGCTTGCTCCTAATTTGTCCTTATTGACAAATATTTTTTTCTTATTTGGGATGAAAGCGGATACCCTTTTTAATGGAGTGATGACTTTATTACATTATTTGGTCTCCAGTATTACAGGAAAATCAGAATCAAGAGAAAGCATTCTGCTGGATTTAAAGTACTTAAAATTGGGCAAGAAGCCTTTGTTGTGTACATATTGCAAATGCAAGCAGGGGGAAAATGAAAAACAATGAATTATGCAGAGCACATGAAAAGCCTTATTAAAAGCATACGTCTACACAAATTTGTGATTTTCTGAAGTGAGCTGAAGATTGCCACTTCAAAGCAAGAATGATTTTTGGCCTAACTTGAAGCATTATTTCCAGGTAAGAACTGCTGTGAAGACAAACACAAAGGAGTTTCAGCTTTTTCAACTTTATTGTTTCTTGCTTCTGCAACAAATATGTGGGCTTGCTGACTGTGCAATTCATAATGTTTGAATTAGCACCTTCGTGTCCAAGTTTATTCTCAGTCTCACATCCTAAACAAGTTTTCCAAGTTCTGTGTGCTGTTGTCCAAGAATAGCACTTGCCTTTTTTTGTATCATATTTGCATCAGTAGTTTAGTTTAGTTTTTTCTAGTTTGCATACATGTTTCTATTTCTTTCCACTACCCACTAGCTAGTTATCATTTTACAAATGATAAGATTTAGGCTGTATTGTGCATGTAGACGTCTTTGTGTCCCATACTGAACGAGTGATTTTTTTTTTTTTTTTTTTTTAATACTAGCACATACAGTTAATAATGAACTTCAGTTAGATTTATTTAAATGAATAGCCCAAAATAATAATTAAGTTCAGCTCTTGCTGTCTCACCCCCTTTAATCTGGATCTGTCCCCTGTGTAATTTAATTTTTTTTTTAGCAATTGATGTTCTCAGCCTTGTTTAAAGTGGTAATAAACCCAAAACCAAAAATGTAATATATTGCAGCTTACTGATCATTAGATGCAGTGGCTGCATCAGTTGTCTTTTCTTTGTCATTTTTTCCCTGTTTTCACCTGATCTGCCTAGTGACACATTTCCTGTGTTAGGCTGCGTTCACACCTGAGTGTTGTTTTTTTGGGCGTTTTGTTGTGCATTTGTGTGCATGTTTTTGTACAGTGTTTTTAAAGCATTTTTTAGGTATTATTATTATTGTTTTTATTTATTGATTTATTGTTAAGGTGTTATTTATTATTATTATTATTTATTTTTTTATGGTTAGAGAGTAAAGGTTAGGAGTTAATTATTATTTATTTATTTATGATTATTTTTATTTATTTGTGTCTTTATTTTATTTATTTTTATAATTATTTATTCATTTATTATTATTATTAATTTTTTTCTTACATTTTTTTATCTGAGCAGAAAAATGCGCAACAAAACTTGCAAAACCACGCATATTGGTTATTTCTATTCTTTGGAATGAAAAAAGTGCAAATCTGCCCGATTTGAATGGCAAAATAAGCTCCAGAACTTCTTTGAGCTTCAGACATTTGGCTTCAGGTGACTTGGAATGGATACGTGAACCATCTCCATTGAGAATAATTGATTTTTTCTCCTCAGTTTTTGAGCTTTGAAATGCGAGCTACAAATCGCTCAGGTGTGAATGGAGGCTTGGTGCCCCCACTCTAGATGAATGTGCACAGGAGGCACATTTGGACAGCAGCATTGTCAATATAGGGGGAAGGGAGTGTTAAATGTATTAGCAGATTTAAAAGCAAAAACTAATTGAAACCAAAATTCCAGCTCACACTTTATAATCCGTTACTGCGAATAGTTTTTTACTTTTGGGATAAAGGTATTACACAAATAAATAAAAGCTGATCATTTTAACCATCCCTGCCAGTGTTATTGGTTTGTCTCATCCATGTAAGCTGATACATTCTGCTGGAGAGCTTGAGCTTTTGAAAAAAAACAGAATTACTGACTGGATCACCAGATGAAAATAGAAAAGAAAACTTAAAAAAAAACTATTGCAGCCATCACATCTAAGAATTGGTAAGCTGCAATAAAATAAATGTTTGCTTTTGGGTTCAATGCTGCTTTATCCCACTTTTCTTAGGACCAAGAGTGGGGAAGGTCATCATGTAGCCTGGGTCTAGAGCTGCCTTTCTCAACCTTTTTAACATGAAGGAACCCCTAAAATAACTTTTCAGTCTCTGGGAACCCCTGCTAACATTTACTATATCAAAGGTTTACAGTTCACTAGGCTAAGAAAAATAGAGGGTGCAAGCCAGATTAGTAAACGGTAGTTTCATGGAGAAACTAAAGACCCTAACAGAGGAAAAACTAATGGGGATTTACAAGGCACCATACCATATGAAAGTATATTATTATACTTTCATATGGTATGGTGCCTTCTAAAGTCCTATTAGTTTTTCCTCTGTTAGGGTCTTTGCTTTTTTCTGATTAAATAGGGGTATGGCACCTATAAAACCACTACACAGGTGAGATTTAATGTCTCTCTAGCTCCCATCCAATTTTCCTATCTAACAGTAGTTTCATGGAGCTATACAACAAATATCCACTCACTGAATAATAGCAGCGCAGCGTGGGTAACTCAGTCTTAAAGCATGTAACCCCAGAGAGACGACTCCAGAGCAGGGGCGGACTGACAACTCATGGGGCCCCCGGGCAATAGGGGATCATGAGGCCCCTGTGTCTTTGCCCAAACTCAAAAAAGCCTGTGAAAAAGGTAGCAGGGGCATCTCATGGGGCCCCCTACTGAGCCCGTTCCCTCGGGCAGTGCCCGAGTTTCCAAATGGTCAGTCCGCCTCTGCTCCAGTGTGCCATCCACAAACAGAGCCAGCTCCAGCTTAGACAGCCACCTTAGGGTACCAGGATAGGGCGGGCAGAAAAATCTGAATCTCCAGCCACTTACTTGGGATTTGGAATTTTAACTCATTCCCACTGCCTGTACACATATATGCAGCCGCACTGAAGTGAGTCTTCTTCTACGAGGCCGCGTATCCCAGCACAGAGACCATTCTCTCACCAATAGCCCAGGGTCTCGTACTAATGATAGGGAACCAGGACTCCAAGTTTCCAATCACCTGATTGCTGTGATAGTGTCTGATCACAATGATCAGTCACTGTACAGACCATCCATATGTTTTTTTCTCCTCTGAATGAAGAGAAAGATACATTGTATCTTTCTCTCCTTGCCAATAGAGAAAGCAAAACGCACCTACAGCTATATAGGGGTGCCCGGTGCGAAAAAGAAAAGAAAGAGAAGAATAGCGCAGGGCAGATATGACTAGGTGTGTAAAAAAAAAAAAAAAAACGCAAAAACAATGCGAAAAGCACTGCAAAACAGACAAAAAGCAAACTGCATAGGTATGAACGAAGCCTAAAGAGGCAGAAAATGGAAACTGGAGTAGAAGTAACAAAGGTAGAATAAAGAACTCAGACATACAGAAAATTATATAGACACAATGTCTTGTCTGTAAGAAGGAAAAATGTGCCTCTAAGTGCAGTATGTAACAATGTTTATTAAGGAAAACAATGTAAAGCCACTCACATTGTATAAAATAAAGAAGGCTCAGAAGAGTAAAATGGAGTGCACCTCGGAGAGCAACATCAGCATCAGCGTGATGACGTATAGGGGACCAGCATGCAAAGCGACGCATTTCAGAGCATGTGCTAAACCACTAAGGGTGGAAGCACACTCCCTTCTCAGCTTGAGAAAGGAGCGTGCTTCCGCCCTCAGTGGCTTAGCGCATGCTCTGAAATGCGTTGTTTTGCATGTTGGTCCCCCATAAGTCATTACACTGACGCCGACGTTGCGCTCCGAGGTGCACTCCAGATGCCATCTTTAGAGACTTCACGTGCCAGCCGACAATCCTGCTACATCCACAGTCTTCTTCCGTGCGGACGCGGCCATTACAGCGAGGATACGGCTATACATTTTACTTACCTGAGCCTTCTTTATTTTATACAATGTGAGTGGCTTTACATTGTTTCCTTAACCTTTTGGCACCGGGCCGCACACAAATGTGCGGCCTCCCAGTGTCTGGGCCTTGACGCCGAGTGGCTGCATATTAGCGTGCAATTAAGAAAAACATATGTGCTGAGAGCACGCGCCCTGCATGCTCCCAGCACACATGTCTGGTACTCACGGAAAGGTCCCAATCTCCTCTTTCGATCGGGACCTTTCCTGATCATGTGACCTCCGTGAATCATGCCCGCTTCCCGGCTTCTGAAACCCTTAAAGGGCCGGGAGCGCGCCTGTGCCAAGAGGTTAATAAATATTGTTACATACTGCACTTAGAGGAGCTTTTTTTTCCTTCTTACTTTCACACAGAGTCTGCTACAGTTAAAAGAAGCTTGCCCTAGTGCTATATGGACTTTATTATGACATTGGACCTTATGCATTTATTTTGTGCTCCTTGTCAATAGGAGTTGGGGATCTTTTTGTGCTGGTTTCCTCTGTTTTCAGTGGTTTGTGTCTCTGTAACAATATTTTGTCTGGTAGATATAGACTGGTAAAAGTACCTGAAATGATAAAAGAGATACATATTTTATAGTGTCAGCTGTAAAAGAACTGTAGTTCATCACTGACTAGCTAACATGAATCTGTTTGTTCGTAATTGTGTCCATTTACCATAAAAACTACTGTACAAGGCAGTAGCCATGAGCAGATGGTAACATCAATCACAGGGCAGAATTGCCTTGTTGTGTAATGAATATTCAACATTCACCGACATAGTTCCTGGGTAGTGATGAACTAATGAATTTTGGCTTCTGCAGAAACTCAAGGAACTTTCTATATTCCTTTCTTTTTGTGGTTGAAAAGCAAAAAAGTTTGCTTCAGCAACATTATTTTATGTGTTTAGGTATTTTGGAAGAAAATAGGAATGGATTGACCGGAAATGTCACCT